CTGAATAAAAACTGCACTGATAAGCCAATATAAGAATCCCATGCATTTCTGTGCTCTGTGTCCAGTTTTTTTAGAAGTTAAAGGGACAGTATGGAATTTTGGACATAGGACCTCATTTCCTAGTGAGCCAGAGTGTTGGACACGTGTGGAGACACTTTTTTAAATATTCCATCCAGTCCTTGTATTTGCAGAGGTCACTGGCTATAGTTATCCTGCCACTAAAAACAGTCTTACCCACTCCACAAAACACCCGAAGCAAAACTATTATTACACCAGACTGTCGATGTGAATGTCTGTGTCTATAGAATAATTTTACAAGTAGTTTTTAGGATTTATGTCTGAGCAGGAGTAGTGAGTTGTATTTCCTGATAGAAAGTTTGGCAGCGGCGGACTGATATCACCTCGCACCTATCTTACCGGCAAAGTAAAATTCTGCTGCTGCTGAGAAAATAGTCCCTCAACATGCGATGATTCATGCGATGCAAGGTTAGTTTTATTTCAAACATTATTCTATCAACACAGACATTTATCTCAACAGTCTGGTGTAATAATAGATTTACTTGGGGTGTTTTGTGGAGTGGGTAAGACTGTTTTTAGTGGCAGGATAACTATACCCAGTGACCTCTGCAAATACAAGGACTGGATGGAATATTTAAAAAAGTGTCTCCACACTTCTCCAACACTCTGGCTCACTAGGAAATGAGGTCCTGTGTCCAAAATTCCAGACTATCCCTTTAAAACTGAATAATTTGTCTTCACAGGACCCGCCACTAAAAATGTTACGCAGTGCACCTTTAAGATAAAATTGTGGGCCTTGATGTGGATTTTAAAAGCTAAAAATATTGGTGGTAAATGGTCATATTTTCTGTATAGCTCTTTTTCACCTTCAAGGCACTCAAAGCACTTTACAGCACAGAACAACTCATCTATTCACCCACACATTCATACACCAGTGTACGCAGACACTGGGGGCGAGGTGGGTTAAGTGTCTTGCCCAAGGACACAACTGTAGCATTCATCTGTGAGAGCTGAAATCACACCAACTCCAACCTGTGTGTTGGTGGATCTGACCAATGATGTTTATGATCAGACCAGGAATCGAACTGCCAACCTTCAGATCAGTGGACAAACACTGAGCTACTGTCGCTCACTTTAACTTAAAGATGCACTGTGTAACTTTTCTGGTAGAGGGTATGTGAAATGCTTTTTGATATTGCTTTGTCTGGAATGTTTCACAGAATGATATTAAACCTTTCTATCTCCATGGAGACCTAATTAGACCAAGTTACCGGTCAGATGTGTGAAGAGGCAACCCTGCTCACAGTCAGAATGTCTGTTTTTCTTGGTATTTTTGAGCGATTAAACCACTGTAATTAAATACATGTAAGGTGGAGATGTTTAATGTGGATCATTCTAGGCAGAGCAGTGACATCGAAACAGGTGACAGTTAGCCAGGTTGGCGCCACCTAGTGCCTCCGCTCAATTTCATTTCTCTCCAGCGACTAGGTCAGGAATCAGAATACACTAGACAGTTTGCAAGAACCCCAGAAGTGTGAGTTCGGGCACCAGCCAATCAGCGAAGGGCCATACATTCAGTGTTGGCAACAATTCCCGAGATCGAGGATTTAAAGCCGGAACAAAGAGAATGTTTGGAGAATTTTATCAACGGGAAAGACGTTATTGCCCTTCTTCCTACAGGATTTGGGAAAAGCTTAATATACCAGTTAGACCCGTTAGCGGCGCGTTACATGCGTCACGACCAAATAGCAGCGATTGGTTAAATTTAAAAAAAAGTACCCGCCTACCGTAGAGCAAACGACGATCAGAAATCGGCTGATGAATTAGGCTAGGTGACAGATCCTTCAGCAGAAAAATTACATAATGCACTTTAAAGTACATGTTTGGCTTCCTATGAATTTTAAAAGCTCAATATCGGTATCAGCAAAATCACTTATCCACCACAGGAGCAGTCCTAATATTAGACATCGGTATCACCTCAAAAATCCCCAGCCCCAGTCTTGGTTTTAGTGCTGTGTCACAGTTTAAAAACCGAGCAGTGGAGCTGTATTTCATTAGCATGCGCTGAACAAAGCTAAAATCTCCCATGGTGTGCCTTCCTGACCCCCTCTCTTCTCTAAATTCTTCTTGGTTTTTCTCCCGACTCGAAGCCAACTCACCAGAGGCGTCATATTCCTCATTACACAGACAGGCCTGGCCCCTAATGACGTTAACAAGATTTTTCTGTCTCTAATCTCAGGCCTAATAGTAATGAGATACCCTCCTCCAACACACAGAGGCTGGCCCGTTAAACAATTTACAGTCATATAATCACGTACAAACCATAATTTAATGTAATGTAATCTCGGGAAGGTATACACACAAAATGCCAAACCTTGAATCGCTGCTAAGCTATTGTGTTTGTCCTCAAGGGCTTTAAATGCATTGTTTTACACTGCAGTGATGTGATTTGAGTCTACATACATTTAACCTGAGCCTAGAGCAAAATACAGGCGGCTCCCCTTTGGCCTGTACACTGTAATGTGCTGGTAATTAGTGCGCATGAAAACAAATGAGAAATGTTAATGAACACGCGGTACAGTAATGATATCAGAGCTTTATTGCGTATTTATTCTGCATGTGCAAACAATGTGAGTTCTGTGCATAAGGGAATTACTGTATTTGGATAATTACTGCGCACATTTCATTTTGTTGTGCTTGTACTAAAATAATCCCTGGTTTTCAATACACATTATCTTTCCAATGCCTCTTTAACTGTAAAAATAGTATCGTAGATTTCAACAAATATTATTTCTTTAAAGGGAATACTGTTTTTTTTTTTAGTATCAAAAGTACTTTATTTATATTTCTTTGTTGGTCATTTTTAACGGTGCCTGGTCCTAATTTCTCAGTGTCATTTAGGATCTCTCTCTCTTAAATTATTCCATGCTATCTGAGACCCCTTTTTACATCACATTGACTCTTTAACTCTTCCTCAGGATCTGGAGGATGTCTAAAGTATAGGAAATAATTATTTCTCTCCATTCTTTCTTTCCCGCTTTTTTTCCTCTTCCTATCCCATGTTTTTCACCTCTATGGGCTAATTTCCTTCTTTCGCATCCCTACTTCTTACTTTTTAATTTATTTTAGAATTAGTTATATATATTTTTGATAATAATTAATAATTGATAGCTAATTAATCAATTTATTATTATTTATTTATTTATGTATTATTTATTTAATTAATTAATTATTACTATTTAATTTATTTTCTACTATCAATTTGATTTGCTTAATCATTATTGGTATTAGTATTATTACTATTTTATTTATTTATGTATTTATTTATGTATTTATTTGTGTATTTATTTATTTTTATTTATTTGTTTTATTTTAAATTTTATTTTGGGTTGTTTTGCCAGTGGGTGGGGAGGTTGACATTCAGATGTGTCCTCTTTACTGTCATATCTATAATGGTACTATTCAATACAGTGTACTCTGTTTGTTTGTTAATGTTAAAAATTTTCAATAAACAAAGTTAGAAAAAAAAAAAGAAGAAGTATAGCAAACAATTAATAATATTGCATTTGTAGTTTTGGAGATGTGCACATTTTTAATATTGGATTAAACAAAAAACTCAAATTTAAAATGATTAAAACGATACCTTAAAAGCCACAGACAGGGTTTTACATCACAACATTTTGTAGGCCAGTAATATTTAAAGGGACAGTCTGGAATTTTGGACCTAAGACCTCATTTCCTAGTGAGCCAGAGTGTTGGAGACGTGTGGAGACACTTTTTAAAAAATATTCCATCCATCCTGCCACTGAAAACAGTCTTACCCACTCCACAAAGCACCTGAAACAAAACAATTACAATGCCAGATTGTCGATGTTGTGAAATAAATAAACTTATCAATGTTTGAAATAAAACTAACCTTACATCTCATGAATTGTCGTATGTTGGTGTAAAAGTCGAATCTGAAACTTTTGACTTGTTTCTTGACACTATTGAAATAAAAGGCTGTTAAAATGCTGTATAAGTAAAGCCAACAACGGAAAATATCGGACAATAAAATGCTTTACAGTTAGTTGCAGACAATATATGGAGGACTTATTTTGACCTCAAGAGTGGCAATAAATCTGTACCCGTGTAAGAAAATGTTGTAAGTTACATGGGTTTTAAAGGGACAGTCTGGAATTTTGGACGTAGGACCTCATTTCCTAGTGAGCCAGAGTGTTGGAGACGAGTGGAGACACTTTTAAAAATATTTCATCCAGTCCTTGTATTTGCAGAGGTCACTGGTGCTAAAACTAACCTTGCATCGCATGAATCGTCGAATGTTGAGGGACTATTTTCTCAGCAGCAGCGGAATTTTACTTTGCTGGTAAGATTGGTGCTAGTTGATATCAGTCTGCCGCTGCCAAACTTTCTGTCAGTAAGTACAACTCACTGCTGCTGCTCAGACATAAATCCATCAAATGCAAGGTTAGTTTTAACTTCTAAAATTATTCTATCAACACAGACATTCACATCGACAGTCTGGTGTAATAATAGTTTTGCTTCGAGTGCTTTGTGGAGTAGGTAAGACTAGCACCAGCGACCTCTGCAAATACAAGGACTGGATAGAATATTTAAAAAAGTGTCTGCACACGTCTCCAGCACTCTGGCTCACTTTGAAATGAGGTCCAATGTTCAAAATTCTGGACTGTCGCTTTAATACAGATGGGGGCAGCTAAAATAAATAATGTTAAATACAGATTTATGTTGTAATGCAGTGAGTTCTTGGGTTTAGACAATCATAGAAAATAACACATTTTAACAGCATTTGTGAGTTTTCCTTTTGGATATTTCACAACAAAGTACAACGCAATCAATAGGGAAATCTGGCTCTTGTCCCCAACACTTTCAAGAATCTGAAATCCACCAATAGTCCTGTAAACAGCAGATTGGTCATACCTCGTGCATCGCTGATCCGTGGTTGTGTGTTATGTTGTGTGCAGGTGTCGGCGGTGGACTCTTTGGACGGGGACTTGGTGCAGGTGGAGGGTCTCTCGGATCTGCGTCTGGAGCTTCACAGTAAAAAGCTCAACATTCACCTGGTTCTGATAGATGAACTCCACCGGCACCTGTACATCAAGTCCACGAGCCGCCTGGGCCACAAGAACAGGGACAAGAACGCCCCCAAACTGCCTGGGTGAGGTCCCTTCAACGGTCTATATATTTGTACATACTGTATCTATATACTATCTATCTATCTATCTATCTATATCTATCTATCTATATATATATATATATATATATATATATATATATATATATATATATATATATATATATATATATATATATATATATATATATATATATATCATACATCATATTTGTTAAGGCTACACACACAGATTCAGGTTTTGCACTTCTGATACTGATTTTGATTCTATAGTATTAAGTAATTACCGATATCAACTGATACAAAAATAAAATAAGACAAAACTTATCCAAATGTGTTATATAACAGTTATTTATCTCTCCAGTAACTACAGAACAGCTTTGTATAAAAAAATAAAATAAAAACTCCAACTTTCTGGGCCAATTACGATCAGTAAATTGTCTTATATGAATTTATATGCCAAACTGGGATATCGGCTAAATTGATATTTGGAAACCGATATCCGATCCAGCAAATTTTTCAGTATCGACACTGATATCAGATATTAGTATAGACTCGGTGCATTCCTAATATTTGTATTAATATGTTTATATATTTTATATTTACTGTATTTTTCTGACTATAAGTCGCTCCGGAGTATACCGGAGCGACTAGTAGTACCGGAGTCGCACCAGACAAAAATTGCGCAATAAGTCACACTTTTTGGGGGAAATTTATTTTATAAAATCAGGGACCAGGAACTGATTTCATCTTGAAAGGCAAGTTACAGTAATAACAATAGAACAGAGAACAACAGACTGTTAACGTCACATATGAACAGTTCTTCAGATAACTATAACATAAACAACAGAACAGAACAAGTTTACCAACTCTCCATCTCACTCCAAATCTCTAAATCCATTTAATTCTTCATCCTCGATGTCACTTCTGAGCAACTCCACGACCTCCGGAGGTAAACAGAGCGCCGCTTCCTCTTCTGTGTAGCTGTCGTCAGACTCAGCTTCAGTTCCAGTTAGAATTATTCCGGCCTTTCTGAATCCCGACAGAATGGTTTCAGTTTTCTTCATGTTTATTAAAATTTTAAATTGTCAGTGATGCAGAAGTACTGGTGGGATTGACTGACATGATACAGACAGGACAGTGGCTCTTTCTCTTTCTTCTGCAGCCGACATGCTCAGTAGAGTGCGAAGAGACAGTGGTACAGGAGTACACAAGTCTAGAGCGCCCTATCGCTGCTGTCAGTGTGAAAATTTTAACATATAAGTCGCACCGGAGTATAAATCGCGGGACCACACAAACCATGAAAAAAGTGCAACATACAGTCCATATTCTTGTTATATGCCTTGTTTGACCAGTTTTGCTACTAATTTAGAATGTATTATTACCAGTTATATATTTATTTCTCTGTGCTATTATAATATATTGCGATGTGTGTACTACTGTGTCAAAATAATTTCCCTTGTCGATCAATAAAGTTTATCTAAGTCTAAATCACAGAAATAAGTGCCCAGACCTCCTTGTCAGAGCCTAATCTCGTCTGATCTCTAAAGCTAAACGTGGCTGGGTCTGGCGAGTAGTTGGATGGGAGGCTGCTGGAAATACCACAGTTTAACTAACCAGTTTAATTAACACCAATATTTGACAACATGGCATCCCTCGTCATTTGGCAATACGCTTGAACCACTTTGCCCTCGCCCGTTTGTGGATATGACGACAAAAGTGAAATGTGGACGCTATAATGTGGATTCAGATTTTATTGTTGAGATTCAAAAATATGGCTTGCCTCATTATGCAGCAAAAGGTCCATGTTTATATATATATATATTCCATCATTATAAGTGTTTTATTTATTTATTTTTATGATGGTTAAGAATTCAAGCTCAAGCTGCCAATTACTCACAGTACGAACGGAAGCCAATTATTGAAGCAAAACACATTAACATTGTAAAATTATGGCTCGACTTTGTGTTTGAACTTGGTGCTCAGTACAATACACTTACACACGTTAAGTAATGAGATGCTGTGACCTTTGTTCAAATTTTACATTATTTTCTACACATTTTATCCCATTAAAACAAATATGTCCATCTATATTAAAGGTGCTGTACCTGAATTTTTATTTTAAAGAACCAATATTACACTATTTTCTGTTGTTTCTTTATCAGCAGACCTGGAGTTGTGCTAGCTGGTAACTTGAAAACTGTCGCCTTACTCAAACATGTGTGCATGAAACAAAACACAACTCCAGGGGCGTTTATGAGGAGGTAACAACATTATAACATGGCTTAAAGTTCACGAGTCAAATTATCGTAATGTAGGACTTTATTATTTTTATTTTTATTTATAATTTGTCAAATTTAAGGGATTGGATACCCAGCACACACAATAAGACAGACTTAACTAAACACGCATATAAAAAAAAAAAAAAAAAACAAATAAGTAAATAATACTAATACTAATGATAATAATAATAATGATAATAATACCAAAAAAAAACCAACCAAAAAAAAAAAAGAGTTTCTCAATGCAGTGACACAAACATTTACATACACATATATTTTGACATTGTCCAAGAGTATGTTGTTCTTATTTTACTGTGCTTTGTCCAAATAGGGTTTTGCGTAAGTCGGTAAAACGTTTGTCCAAGGTTGGCGGTTCGAATCCTGCTCTCGAAATAAATATCATTGGTTGAGCGAAAAGATCCACTGACCCACAGGTCGGTGATGCGATTCCAGCTCCCACAGATGAATGCTGTTGTTGTGTCCTTGGGCAAGACACTTAACCTTAAGCAAAAATGTTCTTTTGTCTTCTTATATACTTTAACTTCTTGGGTTCTTTTTAAAGACAATGCAGTAAGTGTGTTTACCTTGTTGAATGTTTCGGCTGCTAGCTGCAAGCCATCTTCAGAACTGTCACCGGTGTTGGTGGTGACGTGTCGTATATCAGCTGTTGTTACTTCCTGTAGGCGTGGTCTGCCTGATGGACCTGGCAGGTCGCTCAGACTGACCACGCCTCCCGTCGCCCGGTGTTCTCTGGAGGAGGGTGTCCCAGGTGTGTGAAAGGAGGAACGCGCCGTCGTCCCGGTTAATGCTGTCCGTGCCTCGATTCCTGATTTCAATGGCCTCCTTGATCCAGCGTTTGGACTTGTTGTTTTTCCGATCCAATGACCCGAGCCCCGTCCCAATCCATAATGTGGTTGTTCCTTTACAGTGGTCTGATAAAGCAGAACAGGAAAACCTAAAATCCGCCATATCAGATATCTGATATACGACACGTCACCACCAACACCGGTGACAGTTCTGAAGATGGCTTGCAGCTAGCAGCCGAAACATGTCAACAAGGTAAATACACTTACTGCATTGTCTTTAAAAAGAACCCAAGAAGTTAAAGACACTTAACCTACCTCGCCCCCTGTGTCTGCGTACATTGGTGTCTGAATGTGTGTGTGAATGGGTGAGTGGTTCCTTGTTGTAAAGCGCTTTCAATGCCTTGAAGGTGGAAAAGCGCCTGTATAAAAATGTGACCATTTTCCTTTTAAAAAATGAGAAAGTCAGAAGTAGTTCATTTAAAACGGTTTGCAGTTGCCTAAAGTTATTCCTCGCTTATCCTTTGCATTCAGAGCATCCTAATTATTCATAGTGATGACGATTTTATGAGCTTTTTTCACAGTAAAGCTAACAGCAACTAGCATTCTAATGTGCACTTCCTGATTATCAAATAATAGAACGAGATTCAGACATATTTGGACCTCAAGAGCTGCTTATATCTTTACTGGGGCATGTATAATAATCCGTGTATCATTCGTTCATTTCAAAATAAAACTAAAAAAAAAAAAAAACAAAAAACAACTATTTTCTTCATTATTTGTCTAAACCAGGTTTAAACCAGAACTGAACCAGGACTAAAACAGGACTAAACCAGTTTCTGGTCTCGGTCCTGGTCTTGTCCCAGTCTCAGTCTTGGTCTCAGTCCCGGACTTGTCCCGATCTCAGTCCCAGTCTCAGTCCTGGTCTCAGTTCCGGTCTGGTCCCGGTCTAAGTCCTGATCACCCAACAGTCTATGCAGGAGCACCTCCGGGCCTGTCCCGATACTCAGTCCTCATTCAGTCCTGGTTCAGTCTTGGTTTGGACCTGGTTTAGACCTGGTTTAGACCTATTTTAGTCCTGGTTTAGACATGGTTCAGTTCGTATCAAAGTCAGTTTGAGTGACGTAAATGGGAAACGCCGTTATCTGTTTTTTCCATTATTCATTTAAACACAAAATGGAAAACTGAAAAAAACGAATCATTATTCGTTTTTTCATTTTGATTTTGGAGACAAATAATGAAGAAAATAGTTTCTTATTTTTGGTTTTATTTTAAAAGAGGAATGAACGAATGACACACGGATTTATAACAATAAAATTGTAGAAGAAAAAAATCAGGTAAAGGCCTTTTTAAGTAATGATGCAGGATTTGCGATTTATTGCTTTAGAAGTGATATCAGTTCCCAATTTCTGTTTTTTGTTTTGTTTTGAAGTCATTTGAAGGATAATATGAGGTGAACCAAATCTTTTTTCCTTTGTTTTTCGTTTACTCAGATGCATTGCTGTCGCCTATTACAGATAATATGGCGATATGGCTTTGGACGCGCAGTTTGTATTACCGTTTCGCTGTTTAAATCGTTCAGTTTTGTCTGTTTACAAGTGTGTGTGTGTTTGTGTGTGTGTGAGTGTTCGGTACAGTAATTATAGCGATGTGGTTGGTTGGGGAGGTGCAGTGATTTATTATCTGGGGTCAGGGTTTGGCCTCGTGGTATAAGGTCTTGTCTAACAGCCAGCCCACCTCCTCATACGCTCACTCACTTAGCAGGGACATTGTGTTGATACGCCCAAGCTTAAAAGCCCCGGTCGCCCCTCCGCCAGCTCAGGTTTGATAAATGACTCATTGGAAAGCAGAGGCAACGCTACGCAGAGATGCTAGACTTTATAACAAAAATGCGTCTGGAAGAAAAAGCGAGCTGTTCATAAGCAAAGGGTGGTAGAAGTTCATTTGGTTAATTAAAAGTAGGCCTGTCACCTTAACAGATTCTGAAGCATGACATAATGCTACAGAGAAATACTGCGATAAATTATAATACTGAAATAACTTTATGCCTCTGATACAAGGCAAAAATAAACAAATACATAGAAATAAGAAGCAATAATGAGCTATAGAAGTTACTTTTTTAATGCCCTACAGCTCAAATCATCATATTATAACATATATATTCAAAATCTCCCTCTTTTTTTAAAATGAAAATGTGCAATTTGAGTTTTAAGCTCCAAAATGTCAACACATTTGGGCCCGGTCAAGCAGAAGTAAACAGCAAGGCCAAAAATTCAAGTTAATGCATCTGATATAAAAATGTATTCAACAGATACATATGTACTCTAGTTTATGAAACTGTTTACCTTTTTTCTGTACCATTTTTGGTTCTAAAGTTCCATATGTTTTAAACAGACCATGTATGAAACATGGAACAAAAATTATTTCCCAAATTTCAAAGACCTGCAAATCATGTAAATAAACTGATGTATTTCATCATATCTTGTGTTATTCCATCTTTGAACTGTTGATGAAGGTACATGATTTAAAAAAAAAAAAAACTATTTAAAATGATAAAAATTTGCTTGGAAGGACTGACATATTTTATAGAAATAGTTTCCTTTCATTTTGAAGTAATATTAAAGTATTCGGAAGAAAAAAGTTGACAAATTATGTAAAATCATGCACCTTCTACTTGTTTGCACAATTTTCCCTCCGTTACTTTTCCCTCCGTTACCATGACCTTTCTTAATAAAAAATCTCATGACTCAAAAAGTAAGAGGTTTTTCAACCTAATCTTGTACCATATGGTAGAAAACTATATGAAGCAAATATTCAAACCAGTTTGTTAAGGATATGTAAGTGAGAACCAAGCTAGTTATCACTGTTTGTATTTATTGCCCAAAAAGTGCTGCATATTTCATTCCCTCCGTTACCGACATGAGTTTTTAAAATTTTTTGTCAACAACTTGAAAGAATATCACAGGTTTAACTTTACCCTGTTGGAGTGTTAACTCTTTCCTACATTCTGATACTTTACTTATTTCAATAGTCCCTCTAGTTTCTGAATAAGAGCTATTTGAATGTAAAAAATCTGTCCCCTGTTTCCCTCCGTTACCACTTGACCAGACCCATTTCCAGCTTTTATTAAACAGTAAGGTGACACAGTAATTTTTGTGACTTAAATCCTCACTAGTCTTTGGGAAAGACACCTAAATTCAACCAACTTGTCTTAAGATATATACTCTGTCGTTCTTCATCAGGTTCAGTTGTGATCAAAGTGAAGAGTATGAAGTTGGAGGTTTCTTACTGAACATATTTATTTATGTTGATGAAGGAAACTGGAAACAGCGGAAACTCACAAATCATGTAGTAAAATATGTAAATTACCATGGAACAATCCAGGAAAAGCAACATCATCTCCATGGAGACACAGAGAACGCATGCAAACTCCAGTCTCTCTCACTCAAGACTGATTCATACACCTTTAAATAAGATAAGATAATCCTTTATTGTCTCCCATGAGAGAAATTTGTCTTACGCTTTATCACAAAGACAGGACAACACAACAACAAAAGCACCATACAAACTCCACTATAGAACATAAATAAGTAAAAGACCAAGTATGACGACGAGTGACACACCAACAGGACCTTTAAATCACTCTTTACAGACAAGCCCTTCACAGTCTTGTATTCTATTAATAACTGCACACTCCTTAATCCTATGTGTAGTTTTGATCGCACGTTCCCTAAGCCTTTTACTTTTATTTTTTTAACTTCGCTATTTGAGTTTAGAAGATTAACGGTTCATGACACAAAAGAATGTTTAAATCTGTTCAGTTTACAATTTGGGACCCTGAACCTTCTGCCTGACGCTTCAACTCACTGGCCACTTTCCTGCCGAGCTTCCTAACAGTCTCCTCAAAAATTTGCTGCAGTGAGCTCGGGGCCACACGCGCTAGTTTACCCACTCTTTTAGTCAAGGTAAAAATTTAAGTTTAACTGGCACGTTATCAAACCATTAGCCAGGCTGGTGCCACCTTGTGCCTCCGCTCAAATTCATTTTTCTCCAGCGACTAGGTCAGGAACCAGAATACACTTGACGGTTTGCAAGAACCTCAGAAGTGCGAGTTCGGGCACCAGCCAATCAGCGAAGAGCCATATATTCTTTGCTGTCAATGATTCCAGAGATTGAGGATTTAAAGCCGGAATAAAGAGAATGTTTGGTGAATTTCATCAAGGGGAAAGTTATTATTCCCCTTCTTCCTACGGGATTTGGGAAAAGCTTAATATACCAGTCAGCCCTGTTAACGGCGCATTGCATACGTGACTACCAAAATAGCAGCAATTGGTTAAATTATAAAGTACCCGCCTACTGTTGAGCGAACGAATTCTAAAGGGCCGTTCACACCAAAGCGTCAAAAAACGCCTTGACGCCTCTATTTGGAGCCTTTGCATTTGAGTTTAGACGCCCTCGACGCGCGTCTTTGACGCCGTGGACGAACGGGACAAAAATACTTGACGCGCGTCCGTTGCCCTGGAAACAAGAGCCCGGTCCCGCTCTTTTCACGAAACAATGTCAGACCAGACTGATAGAGTGTTTTTTATGACATAAAACAACAGCGGAGGAGATCGGGTCGACGACTGGAGCGTATATATATTTATACTTCGCTAATGACACTGGATCAGTCCCGGTCTAGTCTCGGCCTACTCCCGGTCTAGTCCTTGTTTAGTCCCGGTCTAGTCCTGGTTTGGTCCTGGTCCGGTCCTGGTGTAGTCCCCGCGATCGGCTCGGTGATTGTGGCGTATATATTTATTCTCTGCTCGTGTTTGTGGTTCTCTCTCTGGTTCTCGGGTCTTGCTTCCTGATAATAACGTCGCTGCGTCACTGGATACTCGTCCCTGATCGTCTGACGCGAAAAGTTCAGCATTTTCAACTTCTTGACGCTGACGCCTTGGACGCGCGTCTAGACCGCTGACGCCAAAACGCTCAAGACGCGCCGCGTCGACGCCAGATTCGCACCGCGCTGATGCCGAAAACGCGCCGCAAAAACGCAAGACGCTCTAGTCGCACGTCCACATAGACTTTACATTGAAAGTGGATGCTTTGACGCCTTGGTGTGAACGGCCCTTAACACAGGTCAGACGGTTTCTACGAAGTTCAACCGGCTGATGAATCAGGCTACCAAACCATGTTGACATGCCATAAATGCCCAGGACTGTCTAACCCAGGACTCCTTCATCCACCTTTAAATGCCCAGGACTGTCTTCGTTTGGGGCTAGGCTATGAGACTGCTAATCGCAACTAGTCTGTGAATGTTGACTACTTGATGATATGAACATCATATGCAATATAGAAATCACATAATTGACATTTCCCCTGTCTGAATTTTGCGTAGGGTACTGCATACAGTGCTCGTGGTGAATATTATTAACTATATTAACATTATTCATCCTTGTTAATCCTGTTCTGTTCTTTCTTCCTCCTCCTCTCCAGCTCTCTGACTAAAGACTCCTCCCCGATGCAGCCTCTGGAGGTGAGCAGCCTCTCCACTCCTCGCAAACTCCTGGACACCTCTCAGTTCAGCACACCAGGATCCGGCAGTGGTAAAGCTCTCACTTTTTTAAAGAAACTATACTGCCCTACAAAGAAAGAATGCCATAATATCATGTTTGGTATATAAGTATTTGAGACCTCCTTTATCATGTGAATAAATATCATGAGCCAATTTGATTGTTTTAACAAGAAAATAAAGGGCTATGACAACCTTAACATCCAAAACCATACGAAAAACCACAGCAGAACGGCGTAAGAGTTCTTTTTGTTAGTTTCACAATCTGGCGAGTTAAGGTCTTTTGCCTTTGTAGGGCAGTGTAATGAAAGGGTTGTCATCAAATCAAAATAATGTGTGAGTTTATACAAATTTTGTTAATGGGAAAGATCAACTGAAGGCCTAGTGGTTTGTTTATTAAAGGCTCTACTTTCTATATAAACAGTATATTTAAAAAGGGGTATTTTTTTCTAACACATAACATATTCAGATCACCATGTTACCTTTTATTGTTTTGAAAAGGCTATATTTGCTGAAAACAACCTATTGATATGTGTAATAAGTTTCACCTTCACTTTTTGACGCCTCTCTCTGTGCTGTGTCACTTTCCCTTCGGAGCGCCATCATAACACAATCAGCGCTAATGAAACTACTGCACATCGCATCAAGTTGTTGTGCATCATGCTTTTGTACGTTTATGTGGAATTGTTTGGGACTATGGGTGATGTTCATGTGAGGGATGAGCAGTTAACCATAAGGAAAGTTCGAATAGGGCTTGGGAGAGATCGCTAAATTACTGAAACATACATGTTGGACATCTAAAACCTCTTCAGACATGTGACTGACTTTGGGACAATGTTATAACATGATAGAAAGCTAAAAAAATGAAACATATTTGCACAAATCTCTCTTTAAGTATTGCAACAGGGGTGAGAAATTATTTTTTCCATGGGGCCACGTGAGAAACAGAAAATACTGTGGCGAGCCGAGCCAAAATGCTTTACTCAATTCTGCATGATATTAATTGTATTTCTTTATAAAAAGCAGTAAATATTGTTTTGATGAGCTGCTAAGACTGGTAAGAGTTTATGTTATGACTAAGCAATGAAAAAGTGAGGCTGCCTTACAAAAAATGTAATTTAAAAAACACCTCTAAAATAAATTTGCAGTTCTATGTTCATATTTCTTCACTTCCCTTCTGCTATAGTACTTGTTGTAACACTAGATAATGCATGCGTGAGTGCGTTTGTGAGGTTGAATGGTTCCTTGATGTAAGGAGCTTTGAGTGGCAAAGGAGGAAGAAAACCAGCCATTTACGTTCTATAGCTGCTTATTTGTCCTCTTATGTTGTCTACTGTATTATTTGCAATACGCTGAATACACCCCTTTGTTACAGCAAGGTTCGGGTTCATCATGGAACATTACGACATCAGGTGTACACAATATCTATGGAAATTCCTGTGTAGAAGAATTCACATTACATTACATCCATAAAAGAGTAAAAATGATTTTCTTTGGCGCTAAATAAACATAGATTGGGTCTTTAAAGGTCCTATATTACACAAATTACACAAAATGGATTCTTGTGAGCTTTAAGGCTTGTTATGTCATCAAAACCATACCCGGAGTTGTGTTTTGTTTCATTCACACATGTTTGAGTAATTCTTTTTTAATGGTCAAAATGCTCTGTTCCACCTGGTGACGTCATGTAGTGGTAGTTTTCAAGTTAACAGCTACTTTTTTACCTTTTGTTCACTGCAGATTGGCAGTTCTAGAGCTGAGATCATCCAAATGATTCTAATGAAGGTGTAAAAACGCAGTGGAGCACTTCCTCTTTTACCACATGACATCACAAGGTGGAACAGACTGTTTTCCGTTTGAGAGAAGCCTAAATATGCAGGGTTTGTGTGTTAAATAGGGCATATCGATACGTATCATACATACGATACGATACCTCGATACATTACGCTACGATACGATACGATACATACGATACTACGATACGATACATAGGCCACACATACGATACATAGGCCACGATATTATCTCGATACATATGCCACGGTACGATACATATCTCGATACAGTGAGCTTTCATTTCGATACGATATATTTCAAATCAATTCAATACGGTTCAAAAAAAACATAAAGGCTAAATTATGGCTAAATACTACTACTAAAAGTCTTTCTTAAACCACTTTTTGTATAAAGTGAATATATGAAATACAAACATTTTAATCCCCAAAACAGTGAAAACATCAAATGTGTTTCCTTCCTCTAAATTGTAGCTCTGAAACAAAATAATTTTGTAAAATATACCAAAAAAAAAAACTCCTGGCGATATATTGATACAGCAGCCCATGATATCTAGGGGTGTGCAAAAATATTGAAATATCAATATATCGTATCGTTTAATGTGATGATACAGTGTTGATATCGTGGGCTGCTGTATTGATATATCGCCAGGAGTATTTTTTTTGTTTATTTTGCTAATTTTTTTTTTACACTGCTACAGTTTTGTTGCTTGTTTAGTGGAAGAAAACTCGTTTATGCGACACATTTGACATTTTCACTGTTTAGATGAGTAAAATGTGTGTTTTTCATATGAACTTTGCACAAGAAGTGATTTAACAAAGACTTTTAGTATCACAGCCATAATTTAGCCTTTATTTTTTACTGAACCATATCAAATCAATTTGAAATATATCGTATCGAACCAAAAGTGCACTGCATCGAGATATTTATTGTTTTGTGGCCTATGTATCGAGGTATGTATCATATTGCCAACTTCTTAATGATACCAGTCCTAACGATATCATATAATACGATATATCGATATTTCAATATTTTTAGTTTTAAACATGTGTTAATGAAACAAAACACAACTTCAGGCATGTTTGTTATCAGAAAAGACATCATAACATAGAAAAATGAGAAAATATCACAATTTGATTAAATGATGTAATATTATTGCAAATCGCCATTATTTTGACCATAATATTGGTGAAATTTCAGTATCATCTCTCAGCTGGGTTTGCCTGTGATCTTCAGTCCCATTGCTTGTTAGACTGAACACATACATTTTCTCTATAATGTCCACATCAAACTAAACCGAACCCCCTATATGCAATCATAGCCGCCACAGAAGTCCGTACTGTATATATATGTATATATATATATATATATATATATTTCGAGCTTGTAACATAGCAATTACCATATGGCCTTTGTGTGCACCATTAGTACTTTTCATGTCTCCCACCACAGCAGGGGACGGCCTTGATTACGTTCTGGTCAGCTCCTAACAGCGTCTGATCTAACTGTACAGACTCTCTTTGGCTGCAGGGGCGTATATATAGAGAGACCCCTGCATTTCTCCCAGGCAGGGCACAGTGGAACGCAAACAAGAAGATAATGAAAAAAGTTAATCCGGCAATAACTTGACGTTCCCTCGTGGTGTTTCTGAGTTTTATATTAAGCCTGGCACTTTTTCGCCACCCACGCTTGGCATCGGAGGCTAGCTAAATTCACTGTTTTTCTACCGCGAATGCCAAGTGACCACAAGCGCTGTTCGTATCACAACATTGAGGTGTATTATTGTGTTTTAGGTAACAACACTGAAAAACCATTAGCAACAGAAAGAGCAGGAGGGAAAGTAAAATTATTTTCCACATAGTAAAGATAAATGAAAAGTCTCAAGAAGCGCATTTTGTAACTTTTCTGGTGGAGGGTTCAAACCAAGTCAAGTTTCAGGTCAGATCTGTGGAGAGGCAACCCTGCTCAGTCAGAAAACCTGTTTTTCATTTTAATTTTTTGCTATATAACAAATACAAGCCAGAAAACGTACATAAACAATGTAAATTTTGTCTTAATTTTTACATTAAAGGTGCATTGTGTAACTTTTCTGGTGGAGGGCCTGTCAAATATTTTTCTCCTTGTAAATGTTATTGCTTTGTCTGAAATGTTTCACAGTATGACATTAAACTTTTCTAGCTTTATGGAGACCAAACCAGACCAAGTTACAGTTCAGATCTGTGGAAAGGCGACCCCTCTCACAGTCAGAATGCTTAATGTTTTTCTAGGTATTTTTGAGCTATAAAACCACCTGTAATTGAATAAATGTAAGTAGTCTATTTAATGTCGTATTGTGGAACATTCTAAGCAGACCAATGACATGTCTATAGAAATAAGAAGGTAACATAACTCCAACCAAAAAGTTACACATTGCACCTTTAGAATAAAAAATGCCAAAGTAATATATGTTCTGTTGCTTGTTAGGTTAGGGCTGTCACTAAAATTAATATCCAGACATTGTTTGATGCTAAAAACTGGTTTCAAAAGATACTCATTTAATGTACCTTTTTGGTAGGGGGTCCGTCAGCTTCTTGTTTCTACGGCGATATCATTGCTCTGCTTGAAATGATCCACAGTGTGACATAAAACTGCTCTAACTTGCATTTTTTAATTCATTCATTTGGTTTTGGTTAGGTTTTAAAATACGTAGAAAAAAAATACGTAGAAAAACAGACATTCCGACAATGAGCAGGGTCGCTTCTCCACAGATCTGACCTGTAACTTGGTTTGGTTTGGTCTCCATGAAGGTAGGAAAGTTTAATCCATACTGTGAAACATTCCAGACAAAGCAATAACATCTTCTGGGAGACAAGCAGACAAGCAGGTGGCAGACCCTCTACCAGAGAAGTTACACAATGAAGCTTTAATCAAGGTACTTAAAAATAAACAGGAAACTAATATTATGGTATTTTTTTCTTAGTATTGAAAATGAGTTTGATTTATGTTAGTATTCTGACACAGTAGTACAGGCAACCTTTAAATCATAAATACTCTGAGCTTTAAATCATGTTGGTTTCTTTAATTTATATACTATAGTAACAGTAGTCCTGCAACTAACATTTATTTTAGTAGCTGTCTAGTCAAACGATTATTTCTAGATCTCATGCCACAAGATCTCGTGAAACAAAATTGCTTCAAGATGGTGCACGCATAAGAAAAATGCTCTTGTGACATTTTATATCTATGTGTTAACTCTTTTTT